CTTTGCAATATTTTGAAGACGGGTTTGGAATGTTCTATGAATAATTAGTTTTATGTGATTCACAGTTTATGTAAACTCTAAGGGTACTTTCCGGAAATTTGCAAATGGTAAGTTTTGAAAATGTTTGATTTGTTTCCAAAATGTTTAAACAGCTAGCACATTTAATTTCGTTCTTCATTTTTCTAATAACAAATCCAGCTGCATAAGCGATAATATCTTCCGAATGTAATGTCAACTTCCAAATATTTGAATTAAAAAAAGAAGTGTCAAAGTTGCAAACAATTTCTATTTGACTTTTATTCATTTTCTGTAATGTTGACCGGATCCACATATCCGTAATATCCAAAGTTTTATAAATAATGCTGACTGGTTCACCGATTTTGTAAAAAAATAGCTTCCTTGAGATGTTTCACTTTTATATTTCACAGTACACACTTTTGTAGCCTGTCGTTTAACGTGCTTTGTTAAGAAATCCATATGTTTATTGTGATTTCCCAGTTACCAGAATGTTTGAAAAATTGTACTTCTTTGCTGCTCTTTCATAACATTTTAATCTACAGTTTTACAATTTTCCTTCATTTGTCGCGCTTTGATAATTTTTTTTATTCTACATGATTCATACTCTTCTCCTAAATTTCTTTTTTTCTTAGCATCGTTTACTTTCCAATTTTCAGTGCATCTGTATCGTTTCCTGGACGATACTTCCTTTCTAGGATAATTTCCTGAATCTGAACCTCAGCGGGTGGAACTTAAAATTTACGGAAATTTTATTTTTACACTAATTAATCAAATAAGACAAATACATTTAAACATAAAACGTCTTGTTAAAGTTAAATGCTTATTTAAGTTATTAATTATAATTTTTTTGTGCTTACACTTACATCGAGAAAAAAAACTGTTAGATTAACAGTTTGCACGGTTAAATATAGCGAACCCAAAAAATAGCTTCACTTAGCCTTTTAAAAAGAGTAAGAGAGAGTACTTAATTTATATATATTTTATTTACTTCAAGGAAAATGTTGCGGTCAGACTAAAAAAAGTTATTTCTTAGTGTAAAAATAAATAATTAATTCACTGAGAACACCCTGATAAAGAATACATTGTTCTAGACACTCCACACAATAAAAATCATTTTACTCCCCACTCTGTTGGTTTGTTCTTGATGTATTGCTTGATGTTTAGAGCTCCTTTGAACGGAACAATTTGTTCATCGACGCTGTAAACTTCTTCGGGATCCAAACTATTACATCTTTCTCGTATAGCGTTATACAAAGGCCGAATTTTCCAAAGTCTTTGTCCAGAAATTGAATGGCATTCCTAAGTTTGAAAATCCGACTGACCCACATATTATCAGTTATTAGGGAAATCGCAAAATTTGGCTCCCAGTACATGCGAACTTTTGGACAACCCTTTCCCATCACCAAAAGGATTCCAAAAAATGTCTTGAGTTCAGATACATTAGTTACTGAATTTTGAACGGCATACAAGTTTGTTTTTTTCTGCACAAGACTGCAGCAAGTTATCTGTAAAGTGCTTTGAAAATATTTCCAGTAGAGAGGGCAAATTTATTACTTGAGAACTAGGCAGTTGGTAAAGCCTGAATAGTCGATGGCATTTCCTTTTAGGTATCCACTTTATATTCTTTTCTCTGTAAGATTTTGAGCTTTCAACAAATATTCCGTTGCAAATTCATTTGCTGTTTGGCAGTTTCGACCAACGGAAGCTCTTCTATTTCATGTGAAATAGGGCTATAGTCTGTTTAGAAATGAAAGAGAGTAATAAAAGCTTATTATGTATGCAAATCGTAAATAAATGTAGTACTGGTGCTTATATTCAATATTTTTATACTATGTATTATCGGTATAGGTGAGGTGTACTTTTAAAAAAACTTTGTGTGACCGGGTAGTTCGGTAGTTTAGCTAAGTTAGGTTTGTAGCTGGAAATTGCCAACCTTAAAGAATCCAACGTATGAGCGTCAGTCAAGCGAGAACGGTGCTTATTTTTCGTTTGTTTAAAGTACAAAAATGCTGATTCACATAAATATGTTGATCCAAAACACGAATGCAGTTGTTCAACACATCTTTTTAAATTTGGGTATTTCTCGTTGGAAACCAATGGCCAGAAATCTAAACATGAGCCCTGACCTTGCTTTCAGAAACAGATCGCAACGCAAAGCAATAATTTCATTTTCAAGTGAAATGTGGTCCATTTGAAACGTTTCTGCAAATTTCTTAGACATTTCATAAGTGTCAATAATGGCATCATTGAATGGATAACTGATGAATTCCACCAACTTCTCAATTTTCCTAAAATCACTGAAGCGGATTTCGAAATCGGATACCACTGTTTTAATTTCTGAATTGTACTTATCAGGATTAAAAACATAGTTAGGGTGCTTTTCCATATAATCTTTGATGTTCGTAAATCGTTGAAACTTTTTCTTTTCAAGATCAACTATCATAGATGCTGCTTGATATTTGAACGCTTCAATAGAACTCACCATATCCGATACTGTTTTGTTCTTGCCTTGTAGTTCCAGATTTAATGTGCTAAGTTTTCCAGTGAAATCGGCTGAAAATGATAAATCACATTGCCAGTCTAAGTCTTGCAATTGCTGATAGTTATCACCCCTCTCGTCAAGAAATTTGATTATTTCGTCGAACAAATCTCTAAATCTTTGCAAAAACTTGCTTCGGCTCAACCATCTTACGTCGGTATGTAATGCTAAATCTGTTTTTTTTTCATCTAGTCGCAAGTTAAAGAGCCGTCTTTGAAGAGATTTGCCTCTNCTTACGTCGGTATGTAATGCTAAATCTGTTTTTTTTTCATCTAGTCGCAAGTTAAAGAGCCGTCTTTGAAGAGATTTGCCTCTTGTTGAATTTACAATTTTGAAACAAATATCCATTACATGTTTTATGATTAGCCACTTACTAGCCAGGACTTGTTGGTGAATTATGAAGTGGTAGCTAATAAAGTCTGGAAAGTCTTCGTGTTTCTGACAAAGAGAAATAAAACCATTATGAATATCTATCATTGGCGGAGCCCCATCAGTCGTTATTGATACAAGCTTATACAAAGGCAGATCTTGCCAGTATAATCTTTGAATTCTGTAAATATATCGAGGCCACGAGTTCTTCCTTTCAAGGAAATCAATTCTTCTGTCGTAGAGAAATCATCCGAATGAAAATAAGTAATTGTGCAGTGTTAGCAATGTCTGTTGACTCGTCAAGTTGTAGCGAAAAAGCAACGCACCGGCCGAGATCTTTTTGTAGTTGTTCGCTCACATTTTTCTCCTATTATTTTATACAAGTTTGGTCAAATGTAATGTAGTAGGTATATATTTAATATGCATATAATCAAGATTGGTGTTGTAAAGATGAATAAAAGTAAATATTGAAACATAATTGGTAATTCTACAAAAATAAAGAAAATATTAAATTAAACATACATTTAATATATACTTAATTAATTTACGGTTATATGACGTTTCGCCCCCAGCGTTTAGCTCCCACTGTTTTGCCCCCGTCGGTTCGCCCTTGGACGTTTCGCCCCCGTACCGTTTTGCCCCCGACTTGTTAGCCCCCAATAATGTTAGTAAATAAAAATGAAGCCAATTTTAAAATAACTATTTTTATTAAAATTCAAAATTATTAGCAATGCCTATCAAATAGTCCATATTATCTATCCTACCATAACTTTGTACAATATTTTTAATTCTTTTAGCAATTATGGCATATTTTTGGTTTAGTTTTGTTTTACACCTAACAATAATTGGGATATTTCATATCTGTGTAGCGATTGTTGTTTTCTTAGTCCATTTATAAATTGGTATATGTTTGGAAATAAATTACCGCAAGTACTTTGAAAGCCCCGGTGCCAGCCTTCAACGCTATTATTTGTTCTGTGACGATCGTTTAATGTTCTATCATATACATTCCACATTTCAACAGCAAATAGGGGAGCTCGCCTTTGTCTTCTATTTCATCGTCCTATCTAGCAGTCTTCAAAATAATCAGCGATGGCCACTCCATTTTCAGGAAAGTCCTCATTTTCAATAAGGGTGTCAAACTGATCAGCTACTGATTCCACTGGAATAAAAGCAAGCCTTCGAATCCACAAAGCAAACTCATGAGATTGATTATACTGTGTCTGAAAAG